CATATTATAAGGTAAGGTTATAAAACCACCTTTTAAGATCATTTTAGTGAAAGTTTCATGTTCCTATCTCATAGAATTTAAGAACAATGATGAATAAATAATTTTCGAGCAAAATTTAAATGGCCGGCTGAATATATTACCGCAGGAGCCGCGGCCGCGGAATTTAAATGACCACGTCAAAGGGTTAACTCTTACAGACGCGACTACAAGCAACTGTAGCGCTATCGCTAAATCATACCCTCTGCAGTTCACTGCAGCATGCGCTCTCTTTTCAGTATGCTGCATCTTCATCTGTTGTCACCTGGTAATGGCTTCCAATGCCATAGCTTTCTCACCTTCCATATTCACGTCCTTACTAGCTTTCGACTGTCTTACAACTAACTCAGCATTGCTATGCAATGACTAACAACAGTGGGGGGCTCCTCTGCCTCCCATGCCTTCCCCAGGGACAACCGTCTGTGACCACCTCTGACGGGTCCCTCTTCCAACTGCTAACTGCAGACTAACTACTCTCAATATCTCTAGACTCTTAACTACTCTAAACTGACTGACTTGTCCTGTTGGTACTCATGATACAGCCTTGGGATGGACCCAACAGAAAACACCGCTTCCAACAGTTCTTCTGTTGTTGTGTGATGTCACTATCCATGCAGATGGTATAGAAGACACTGTTCCCAACTGTACTCCCATTGGTCATTTTTCACTGCTTGACATATTCCATTGTTTTGTTTCTGGTTATTGTGCCATTGCCTAGTAACGGACATGCCACAGCATATCTTATAGGCATGTGAAAGATAACTTTTCAATTGAGACAAGACCAACGAATTTTAAGAATGAAGTGAATGAGAATTTTTGCTGCTGGATCAGTATTTTTGCTAACTGTGGTTTATGACATATGCCACGCTTTCTCACAGTGTGTTACTTATTCCTTTATGCTGACGTCATGCACAGAAAGGCAGACAGAATCTTTGGGAGCAGTAAGAAGGGGAGAAGGACCGCCGATGAGCTGATTTGTGTTAGTGTTGCCGCCAAGAATTACAGTTCTGAAGAATCGGTAGTTTGCCTGCTGTTGCAGAAGCAGTTACATGAAAAGTCTCAAACTCAAAGACAGTTAAATCAGTGTCTGCATTGGGATCAGAACTCTCTTTCGCAGTTAAATGAGCATTTGAGTCTCATGCATGCCTAATATTTTAGTTATCCCCAGATTTTAAAAATGAGTTGTTTTGTATTGTGATTGTGATGCTGTGTAGTTAGGTAGACTAGAGCAACCTGCTGCCTACAGTTTCACTCTGTCTTTTTATCTTTTATTGTTTTCGCATGTTTCTTTATGACTTTCTTGGTTAAATTGGTTTTCTTAGTATTCGTTATTTTGAGAAAAAGTATTTTCTCTCAACAAATTTAACAACAGTGTTGGATTTGAGCTTCTCATACTGATGATTGTGATGAGTACAGTTGTTTATGCAATAATACGTGGTGCAATCCAAAAGTTCCTGAAATTTGAATTTTGTGCGCGAATGGTTATGAGTACATTGAAATACTGCTAGGTGTCTCCCCACACATCCTTTTTGAATCAGTGTGGCAAGCGGTGTCGAGTTGAGTGGTTGGGTTTATTGTTTTTGAACGTATTTCCATTGTTGTGTTTCTGTGAGTTTGTGGTTTTGCGATGGCTGACCTGAGAGAGCAGCGTGTCTGTATAAAGTTTTGTTTCAAACTTGGGGAAACCGCTGCAGAAATGCACCAAATGTTGAAGCAAGCTTTTGGTGAAAACAGTTTAGCCCAGATACAAACTTACAAGTGGTATAAGCGTTTTAAAAATGGCCAAACATTGACTGATAATGACGATCGTTCGAGATGGCCGTCAACGGGCAAAACACCAGAAAATGTTGCGAAAGTTAGGGATCTGATTCTGCAAGATCGTAGACAGACCATCCAAGACCTCTGTAACACCTTGGGACTAAGTTATGGTACATGTCAACGAATTTTGTCAGAGGAGCTGAACATGAGGATTGCGGCGAAGTTTGTGCCACGACTGCTGCAAAATGAATAGAAGCAGCATCACTTGGAAGTCTGCAGGGAACTTCAACAGCAGCTTCAAGAAGATCCAAACTTTCTTTTGAAGGTTGTCACTGGTGACGAAAGTTGGGTTTATGGCTATGACCTTGAAAGTAAGCAGCAATCGTTGCAATGGAAGAGCACTTCTTCACCTTGGTCAAAAAAGCTCGACAAGTCAAGTGCAACGTTAAGTCCATGTTGATCTGTTTTTTTTATATTGGTGGGATTGTTTATGAGGAGTTTGTCCCTCCTGGTCAGACAGTCAATAAAGAGTTCTATAGCAATGTTCTAAGGCATTTGAGGGAGGACATGAGGAGAAAACGTCCAGAGAAGTGGTGCACGAACGACTGGGTACTCCACCATGACAACGCACGACTGCATATGGCTTACATTCTGCAGGAATTTTTGGCTAAAAACAAGATGGCAGTTGTTCCCACCCAACGTTCTCACCAGAGTTAGCTCCATGAGACTTCTTTCTCTTCCCCAAGATGAAAATCAAGTTGAAGGGGCAAAGATTTGATACAGTTGAGGAAATTGAAGCGGAAATGCAGATGGTACTAAACACCCTAACAAAGAAAGACTTCCAGGATGCATTTCAAAAGTGGCAGAAACTCTGGGATCAGTGTATGCGCTCCCAAGGGGACTGCTTTAAAGGTGATGGTGCAGAATAAGATACAGGTAAGATGTAATAGTTTTTATTAATATATTTTGGGAACTTTTGGATTGCATGACGTATTACATAGTGGAGCCGAGATAGCGTAGTCAGTATAGCAATTAACTACAGGCTGGATGACTGAGGGGTCGGAGTTTGAGCCCCGGTAGGGACAAGAATTTTCTCTTCTCCAAGTCTTCCAGACTGGCTCTGGGGTCACCCCACCTCCTATCCATTGGGTACCTGGGGTAAAGCGGCTGGGGTGTGGAGCTGACCACTCACCTCCAGCTAGTGCTGAGGACAGAAAATGTGGATCTGTACATCCGCTGCCCTATATGCCTTCATGGCATATTGCTCATTTAGTTAAGCACATGGACTAAAAAAAAATATGTAGTTTGGAGAATGTGTTGCCACAAATCAAACAAGATCCTGAACATGGAGGTAGTATGTTCCTTTGAAATGGCAGACTATCTCTGAACTACAAACTGTACAACACTGAAGACAATACTCTTCAGACAGAACTAGACAACAGGTCCAGCCTGAGTGCATAAAATGGCTCTCAAACGGTGCTGCAAGATTAACAGTGCTTAAAAATCAGCTGCTACAAGTTTGCCAGATTGTATCAGTATTGTATATTATCATGGAGTCATGCTAATTATGAATTTTTCCAAGATGTTCATTAGGTGTTATGTGAAATTAATTGGAAGAAATTGCCTGGAATGTCCAGCAGACGCTTCTCATAAAGTATTTTTTGACATGACTGACTACCATTCTTACGGAGGAGGACAATACTGACACAGACTTTGGGAAATTCAAGGCTACTCTGATGTGATGCATGAAAGTCAGTTGGTGAGTTGCATGCAGCTTGCGTGCCTTGAATTGGACAGCCCTGGTTTAGATTATTGAACTCTCTTGTATGAAAGTTTTATGAGACCTGTACATTAAGTGACCTTTTTTCTGTAACAGACTTTGATCAGCAAGTGCAAGACAGTAAGTATAAGGCTGAGGATGCTCTACTTATGGTGCCAAAGATACGAGAGCTGATAGCTGATGCGGAAAACAAGACAGGTGATGCCAGACAGGCGTTAGCTGGAGCAGAGCACAACGCTCAGATTGCTCGTGACACCGCTCAAGAAGCGCAGCAGAAATACGCGGAACAGGCTTCTCATGTACGTCCCCACAAATGTTTTATGAGATCTTACAAGCCTGCATGAATTATGAGTGCCAGGCAGCCATGCCACTATAAATTTTCATGATGGCTTTAGAATATTCTTTCTGTTTTGTTACTACTGGCACATGGCCCCTATATGATGATGGGGAAAATCATTTTTTCCTTTTCTCTGTCCCTTGCATACCTTTATCTCCTTTACCTCCTGGCTCTCTTACTGCTTTCTCCTGCTTTTGAATTGTCACTCCAGTCATTATTCCTGTCCCCTTTGCACCCTCTCTGCATTAAAACTGTTCCCTTGCTCTGTTCTTGCATTTTCTTATCTCCTCTTTTTTCTCCATATTCCTTTCCCATCTTTTTATTTGTCTGTCTATTGCTATTCTTCTCCCCATTTTAGTAATGGAACATTGTGTTTTCCTCAGCATCTGATAGGGACTGTTTGCTGTTTATGTAGATGTGTCCTTTCCTTTTATAACAAATAAGCATATTTCTTGGCCAAGGTATTCTATCTGTAAGGGACATGCAGTAGCATGGTTGAGGCACTATGCTACAAGCTGGAAGGTCGCAGGTTTAATTCCTGATGAAATCACTGGATTTCTTAATTGACCTAATCCTTCCAGCCGCACTATGGCCTTGGGGTCGACCAGCCTCTAACAGATATGAGTAACTGGAATCTTCCTGTGGGCAAAAGGTGGCCGACCGGCATGTAAGGCTGACAACCTCACCGCTGTGAGCCCATTTTCTAGAAAATATGGGGACCTCGACGTCTCACAACCCTATGGGCCTTCACAGCCCGTTACAGGGATAGCTTTACCTTTTTTACCTTTAGATATTTTGTCCTTTGTTCTGGCACCTAGTTTTTGAGATGTAGGAAGTGTATACAGGTCTGACAAATTTATTATGTGTTGTTCTTTTTGGGTTACATCCTGATTCAAACAGAACATCAGTAAGCAATGAGGTAAACTAACAGATTGACCATCCTATAGTGTAGGTGGTTGGTTAGTGGCTTTATACTGTGGAGCCTTAGGTTAAGCATAAGGCTGTCATGCTGGATATCATTTCCCTATTCATCATTCTTGTCATCAGGGCCTGGTACATAAGCCCATGTAAGGCCACAGTACTAGGAGACTTGATCTCTCTGAACTCCTGTCGTTATCATCATAATTTAATAATTTGTTATGTTAATTATAGCAATCAATCTTTTACATCATGTTAGGAGGCAGATTTAATCCGTCAAGGAGCTGATCAAACCAAAAATGATGCCAGCAAAGTGCGTGACGAAGCAGAGGCACTGGAAGGTCGTGTTGCAGTGACTGCAAACAAAATCAAGGAACTTGACGCTCTTGCAGCTCAGGACGAAGAACTTACGACGATGGTGAGTACAGCAGTTGCTGGGTGCTGGATTCTTTCTGCACTAAACTGTGTGATATCCCAGAAGACAAGTTTTATAAAATAGTGCAGCACGTAGATTCTGATCTTCTGAAATATGACATTGTGTAGTAGTGTATGTAGATACCAACGTCTTCAAGCCTGAAGAATGAGGCGATATGTTCCTCCAAAACATTGTTATCCACCTACAAAGCTAGTGAATGTGGACATGGCAGAGATAAGCAGTTCTCATATGTAACCATCGGTGGCCAGCAGCTGTGTTCATGACTAATAAGTAAGTTTTTTGTAAGATTTGAGATTTTCACAGTGGTGACTATGAAGAATGCCATCTTCTGCAAGGAAGTCCCACTAAATTGATGGGGAAAAAACATTTTTAGTTGTGAAAGAATGTCTAGTGAGCATATTCCCATTTAATAAGCTGCTTTAAATGATAGTAGTCACATTTTCTTTGCTCTTTGCTTTGAATTGTAAACTAATAACAGTCCGCTTTACATGACGTCCTTCTCATGTAAAAGGTTTATGTTGTTTTGATTTGTGTGGTCACATAACGCTTTTGTAACCTTCAAGTTCTGCTACAGGAAATTTTTGCTTCAGAGCCACTCACTAGTTTAGACAAATAAGAAAAGATTACTATAAAAGTATGATATATCTGCAAATTAAGAGTGACAGTGTTTCCAAACTCTGCAGAATCTGTGTTTTATTGTTACTATTTATGCTTTTTACCCAGGCAAAAAATAAAGTTGGCCAAGCCAAAAGTAAATCAGCAAATGCCACAAGACAAGTTGAGAAAGCACTGGATGATGTACAAGCCATCATTGAGGAACTGAACCGGTTGCCTAACATAGGTAAGATGTTATTTTCTGCTTGGAGAATATGATCATGTCATCTTCACAAGCCATAATAATTGTCATGTATAAGGGTGTGACTAATAATAATGGGTTCTGGATTTGATGATTGTTTTTATTGGCACTTCTTTACAATTACAGTCGATTATAAGAGCTCTGAATGAATTATGACTCCTGTCTGACGAATGCTGCCCGAAGAAGTTCTCGCGACTGAAATCTCCTGGACTGAACTAACTACCATGAAGACTGAATATAGATCACCAGCTTGAACAGTTAGTTGTTATTCTGTGTTATCTGTTGTAGCAGATACTACTGAGCCATTGCTTAGGAAATTGACTACCACTACTGCTGCTATTCTGGTGTTTAGGAGGTGTTTACGGAGCCGTTGCCTAGCAGTGGGTTATTTCATCACATCATCATGTAATCAATCATCAAGAATCTTCGAGTGGTCAGGATGTTGGGCCACTTGTTTACACGTTCCTGTATCATTCACACAGCGATCTCAGCGGTCTTTTTCAATTTCTTGTTCCAATTGGTTTTTATTCTGAAATTTGTTTTGCTTTTAATTCTTTAAATGTCTTTATTTTTTAAGTTCCAATTATTTTTGTATAATTCTGGTTTCGCTTAGTGGGGGTTGGAGTCCAGATGGATCCACTCATCATGGTGGCCACTGATTGGCCTATTGTACCTACCCTGGGTGATTCCGTATTCTGTATTGAGGGGGTGGGTTTCCCCATGCACTTAGACCGGTTACTGGTCCATTGTGCGTCCCCCTTTAATTTCTACTGTCTCCATACCCTATTGGTACTGGTGCTTACTATCAGCCCCTTTCTGCCAGCGAGGTTCCAACCTCTTACTGGCAGTGGTATCTAATAGTTAGTCCCTTTCTGTCAGCGAGGTCATCCCTTTTCTGCCAGCAAGGTTTCTACCCTCTACTTGGTAGTGGTATCTAATACTTTAGTCCCTTTCTGCCAGAGACATCCCCCCTCCTCTGGCAGTGGTACCTGATACTTCCCCCATCTACCGGAGGAATTGGAAACTAGTTGGGTGGGAAACTTGGCCAAATTTTGCTCAGAGGTGTCCTAGAGACATGAGGTTCTTTTACATGCCGTAAATCTATGACACGGGACCCACGGCTTAAAGTCCCTCCCGGAGGACTTGTTCCCTGAATTTTTCCGCCCTTAAAAATTCCACGACCTCCGCCGGGTTTTTGAACCCGCGTACCTTGAGTCATGAGGTGGGAACGTTACCCCTAGACTACGGAGGCCGCTTACCCCGGGTGATTATGATGATGGAGAATTTGGTGGAATGAAGATTGGCAGGTAAACCGAAGTACTCAGAGAAAACCCGCCCCAGCACCTCTTTATCCACAACAAATCCTACTTGACCAGACCCGGGATCGAACCTGGGCTGCCGCGGTGGGATAATTGTGGTTTAGTCTTTTACTTCAATTGTCCAGCATCCACTCACATGTGAAAGTGTCTGTAATTGTTCCAACTTAGTTCAGGAAGTGTCAGCTGCAGTCTTGGAGAGGACAAAGTTCGTCCTGTGTGAGGATTTTTGTGGGTCACCCAGTTCCTCTGGATAGTTGCTGGTATAGTACATTGAATTACACCACAAGTTCTTCCTTCCGTGTACTTTCCTTTCCTTTGTTTACTTATCATCTTCAGCTCTGCACTGTGAGCATATGGGATGCAGCGCGATGCTGCTAATGATAGTGATAGTCGTAACAGAAAGGCTGACCTGTAAGGACTGTGCAAGTTCCATACATTTGCATCGGAACATTTTATGATTAAGTCCGCGATGGAGCTAGTATGGTCTAGGGTGGTGCCCTGATGCTCTTTCTAGTGCCTGCGCTCTATCCTGACATTTGTATTAGAGACACTAATCTGAAATTCAAAGTTCTTGTGAGTCTTGTGATTTCTGTCTTCTGAGGTAGAAGTGTGAGGGCATTTAAGTATGTGCTTTTCGTGAGCTGTTCAGCTCTGCATTTCAAAATGTAGAGCTCTCATTTGGCAATGAGAATGTAATCATTTCTGTAAATGTGAATTGACATACCAGACTGCCCTGACACTTTTATTTTTGGGGCTGCATCTCTGGTCGTGATGAAGTGCAAGACGGATACTAAATGGAAAGACAGGAAGGAGTGAAGTGTTCTAAAATTGTAAGTCTCAGATAAAGAAACGGTGATGCAGCAGTCTGAGTGTCCCGATTGTCCAGCACTTGAACCGGTGGATGCTGCCCCTGGGCTAGTATTTTGTGTTTGAGAGTTTGACACCTTGCTTATAATGTTCAGAACATTTGGTCCTCGGCAAGACGATGAACTGGGACTCTATACCCTGTGTATCCTTTTGTTATGATTTAGATCCTGTGTTACTGGATGATCTGCAGTTACGACTGGATAGAGCAGAGGAAGAATTCCGGGTAGCGAATCTTGACGGGCGCATCCAGGAACTGAAGGACGCCAGAATTTCACAGGTGAGACGTCTGAATTGGTGGCAGAAGCAAGATGGTGAGGACTGATGGGTGTGGAGGAGGAAGTCTGTAGACAGTTGAGGAAGACGTACACCCCCTCCCCAACACATACACACTCCTCTCCTCTGCACACACACTCTTTCTCTCTCTTTCACACACAAACAAACACACGCACTACTGCCTCCATCATCAGGGTAGATTATCTCGGCAGTATGTCATCACTAAACATTGCTACCAACGTAGCAGACTACAACATGATCTGGTAGAAACTGACTGAAGTTTCGGAAGAAAATATTGCCTCCTCTCAAAAGTAGCTGTGTTTCTGACCTGCTTGTTTGACTCACTCTTCACCTCTGAAGATATATTCCCACATAATGGCAGTTTCTCTGCTGAACTATGTGGCGTTACATGCAATAATTTCTCAATTTGTAATTTACTCAACAGACACAATGGGTAAAGAACTACCAAGATCAAGTGGATATGCTGCAGGCAGATGTACAGAATATCGAGGATATCAGCAACTCACTGCCCGACGGATGTTGGAAACGGGTGCAGCTTGAACCTTAGCATTACTTCTCATCGCAAGTAGCCATTTTGTAAAGTGAAGTTGGAAGTACAGTGCTACAGCACTGGAATTTACCAAGAGTACTGCTAAACGTGTCTTGAACATCGAGGTTGGAGATGTGTGTGGTTATTTACGGCAGTCATGTCAGTAGCTCACTTGTACTGACGAACAGAACGATTATACAAAGAGACCAAAAATTACTGTGATGAGGGCAATAATGAATTGTTTGTGTAGTATAATTTGTAGTCCATTTTCAGCACATTCATGGCTCAGCTGTAAGTTTGACTGTTACCATTTGAGCGGACAATGTTCTTACTGCATCGCTTAAAATTCCAAATATTCTAGCAATACAAACTGAAGTATATTTTTATATCCTGTGGACCAATTTTGGTATGAATTATCCTCTGGATTGCTGCAGTGGTCTTTATATATGAGTACAGTATAGGTTCTGTTGCAAGACACACATACCAAAGAATGCAGTCGCTTTGACTATCACATTTTTGTCTTGTAAGTATTTTACAGGCATTATGTCTTGAATTAGTTGGATGGCATGGAACATCTGCTTGATGCTGCAGATGTCACAGTAATATCACAGCTGTTACGGATAACATTATGTGGTATGTGGTAAGTTAAAAACCTTTAATCTGCTTGAGAAGATAAGTTTAATTTTTTTTCATGAACTTCGATCTTTGATGGATGTGCCATATTTTGATAAGGTTTATTATTGTAATATGTCTGCTAGTATTTAACCAAACAAGTATAACAGGGTAATTTTTAATATGTAGTTCTACACAAAACTTCAAACTGCTTTCAATTTTAAATAAGTATGTAATAACAAGTAAGGAATTCCTAAAATGAAGGAAGTGTCATATATTTGAGTTGTCTGTTACATATTTGAAGGACTCAACTAGTTGGTAAAGTTGATTCAAATCAATTTCACATTGATGTAGTGTTCTGTCGCAGCTAAAGCTTTGTCTCCTGCTCACAAGAACAATTACAGGAACTAGACAATCCAATAAAGTTTTCCTTTGCTTTAATGGTTATGTATAACCCTCACCCTGATTTGAGAAACATCAGTTTGGGGAACAAGTATGCCATATATTCAGGCAAATATAGTACTTGAATTTAAGACATCATTATCAGTGTGGAGGTTTGGGTCTTCGGGTCGACTCTCTTCCTCTACCCAGTAGGTTGATCCTTCCACCACAGGTTCTGCCTTAAAATGAACCTACTTCATGTAGAGTTTGAACAGCCCTTAACACATGATAAATCAAGTGCAACATTATGGAGGAATTTTGGAAAAGAGATGAGGAAGGTTATACTGGCAAGATTTCATAATGTGGCCAGTAAAGTGATGTTACTTTATGACAGAAAATGTTGGGCTCTGGATAAAGCATAAGGACGACATGTTGAGGCAACACAGATGGAAATTCCTCGGACCATTAGCTAGAGTAATGAGAAGAGACAGTTTCCGAAACAAAAACATTTGACAGCAATTTTGGATAGGTAGCATGATCCAGAAATTGTAAAGTACCATCACAGATTGAAGATCGTCTGCTGACAGCAGCAAAGGAATTTGTAGATTCCAAGGACAAAGAGGCTTAAGAGTGTATGGAAACGGACAGGAGAACCAATGATGTGGTTTGCTTTGGAATGGGGAACAGACTTCATGGACCTTGTGAGGAAGAGGAAGAAGAAAAATATGTAGGTATGTGATGAGGTTCCATTCTGTCCATGTGGGGTGTCCAGTTACTTTTGCAGAATCTGCCAGCAAAAATGAGACCATGTGTTATACGCTGTGCAGTCTGTAGCTGGCAAAATCTCTGTATTCCCTTGCAGTAGTCCAGCCATTATGTTCACACAAATGTTGATAGTAATGATCTTCACTAGTGACAAGTGTTGGCTGATAGACCAGAGGGTGCTAGAGAGGAATGCAGTGGGAGGCAGAGGGGATTAATCCTCAAGTCCTATCATGCCTGCCATTCATGGAACTTCTTTTCACCATCTCAGTATTGTAACTCTTTCAAGATATTGTATTTACTTGGAAAGGACTCGAGTAACAGAACCAATTGTTTACTCTGTAACAAGACAAGTGGCAGGTCAGAGATGAGCCCCAACTTAAGCCCCTGACTGCCAGACCTTGCCATAGAACTACATACTAGGAACACCAAGGTTACTTCAGGGTACGTGCAGTTGGCACACAGAAACTGACAATATTCCTCAGTTTATTCTCAAGTGGCTACAGGTATTGATACTGTGAAGCCTGTTATTTCATCTGAACATCACTGTGTTACACTTGATGTCATCTGTTGACAGAAATGCTATGCTAAATGATTACCATCGAGCCAGTCTCTTTGGCTGTGGTAGTTTTAATGCATGTGTGTTGAGTCATCTTCATCAGCCCAAGGCATGCATAGGGTCAAAGACTGAAGATGTGACAGTGTGCTGCTTGGTCAGGGCTATCAGGCTCTTCAGGGGTTGGTGATAGATAAGCATGGTGCAATGGTGGCATGATGAGAGTAAGGGAAATTTGAAGAAAGTAAAAACTTATGTGAACGAAAACAATTTTAGTCAGAATAGTCAGTGGAATTCAAAATGGGCATGCATGAATTGGAAGTTACATGTCTTGCTGCTGAGCTAACCTACTCACCCCATTAAGGAACCCTTCTATACAAAATTAAATTATACACTTTATGTTAATATTTTTTAAATTGCTATTCAGGGTACATCTTCACTGATTTTCCTCAACAATTTGAAGCCTTTGTGTAGTTCTGTAATTTACTTAAAAGAAACCCTGTACCATAGACTTAAGTTTTGTTTAAAGAACAACTTCCATGTTTGTATGATGATTCAAGGTACACTCCTTTATCAAAAAGATGCAATATTCTTGTGTACTGAAACACAGTTACAAATCTTGAGTACCTTGTAATATTATTTTTATACCAAAGATGTTAAAATAAATGTTCTCTTGTGTATTGAACTACAGTTCTTTGATGAGACATGCATGGTATTTTTACAATTTGTTAATTTTAATTTAACAGAGAAGATATGTTGGTTGATATTGTATCATTCACTGCCACTAGTTGATGTATTTGTTTGTCTTGTATCTTCATGTCTCTAGTTCATAACACTTCAGAGCCACAGAGAAGTATTGTAGTAGAAATATGTGTGTATGTTTCATTCAGGATAATAAACACTAAATGAGATGAAATACTAAATAGAATTTGTCTAAACAATTTTTGAGGATTTTATAATCTTGAAATACATCAAATCATGTTTCACTACATAATTCCCACCTACTGTAAGTATTACACACTCATTTCTCAACATGAAAATAAGAACAGGTACATCCTGTGTATTCTGTTTGTACATGTGAAAGTTTGAAATCAAATAAACGAGTTCTATCACAGTTATCTGAAAGGTAAATATTGTGGTTGTTACCGCTCGCTCTCCCTTTGGTTTCTGTTGTTGGGTGGGGTTCTGGTAGGCAATGAAATTCTTTCTCGGGGTCGTTATACGGGTCTTGGATCATGAGGAGACAAAGGATAATAATGTTACGCCGAGACACATTACATTTACTCACTGTTTAATATATTATCATATGTTGAAACACGTCTGTCCGTAGGAATGACACACATTACATTTACTCACTGTTTAATATTATCATATACTGAAACACGTCTGTCCGTAGGAATGACCGAATGAGAACTCCACTAGAAGCTCGGACTATATCGTTGGGTTTTGGGACATAAATTCTCCCACCCTCGCAGATATAGTCCATCATTGCTTCTGATTCGGTCATTCAAAAGGAAGGCGGTATTACAAGTTTAAACCCTCCAGTACCCTTCTTAAAAATTACACCTTTGAAACTGCTGGTCCAGCGATATTCTCAATGATTCTTGAGACCTCGCTAGACTGCAGCTGCAAAGTGTAACATTACAGACACTATGCGGCATCTTTTACTCATAAGATATATATATATTTGCTTCACGTAACAGCGACACTATGGCGCCACTGTTATGTGCCACAGGGATATAAGTGTCAGTTGTTTATAAGCTGCTTACTCCAAGTCTTGCTCTTAATATTTCAATTTAAGCACTAAATTAAATTGGACGACTTCATGGTCTTCTGGGTTGTCATATCATGTACAGTCTTCCAACTATGACAAGGTGAGGCAGTTACCAGGGTCCGCTTTGTACTATGTAAGCTGAAAACATTGACATGAGGTGTTAAAGAAAATTTTGCCCTTTCCGTTGCTGTATTGTCCTTAAACAGTAGAATGGTTAAGATCGGCTTGTTCTGCCCACAACTTGCCTTTCCCTATGTTCGTTGGAAGAAGTCTGGGGTTTGCCCGTTTACAGGGCTGCACTGTGACGTGAACCAGAAGACCACACATCTACCGTACTGTGTGGTGCTTAATTAACAGTGCAGTCATACCGTGTAGCATTAGATGGTAGTATAAGTAGTGAATATGGATGTAAAATAAATCAACTGTGGAGTAATTTGATATATTATATTATTATCATCCTAGAGGGACTGAGGAAGGCCAAGAAAAACTTTAGTCAGGACAATTGGTGTTGTGGTTGAGATTTGAACCAAGTACTTCCCAAACAGAATTAGAAGTGGTATCACTTGAGCATACTTACTTTTTAGTTTTGTGTTCACTGTATTATTTTACACAACCAGTGCTTGTACATAACTTTCTGCAGATGACATGCAATATTTTATCATTTATGAGACCACTTCAGAACTTCATTATGAGGTGAGATTTCAGCTATACCGTTATTATACACTTATACATTGAATATGAACATTTTGAGGAGTATTGATGGAAAGGCAAGAAGGGATGAAACTAAAAATGAAATTTGAAAAGAAGGTACTGCTGTTGAAAATTTGTTAATAGAGTTAGAAGAGAAATGATCACAATAGTTTGGCCATGTAAAAAGAATGGATCCAAAGGAGGGCATTAAAAGAGTAGACACTCAACATTTGTGAGGTTTATGCTCTTGTAAACTCACATGAATGTGGAATTCATGGATGTTGGAAACATAATTTAGTGAAGAAAGTGAGGTTAGATGACATGACAAAATATAGGGAGTGAACAGATTGATATAACATAATCAACAACTAGTAATACATTATATATTAAATATATGTTAGTAATAATAACAACAATATACTGTGATTTTGAAGTCCAAATAGTCCAGAGAGAATGATTAAAGTGGGGTGAGGCTGGTAAAGGCAGAGAGTTTAGGCTTAGAGAACCTGGTGATAGTCATTTATTTTTCTTTTCTCTGCAGTTTCTTTTCAATAAAAGTCAAAATAGGGGAAGGACACAGAATCAATCTCCCTCCTAAATTTTGCGTCTTCTCTTCATAAGAGGATCACATTCCACCACTCAGCCTCTTAAGCTACAAAACTGTAGTGTAAACTTACATATTTGGAAAGCCCAATGGGCATGACAGCAGTAGGCATACCTTACATTCATCACAAATCTGCTAATTTCATGGAGGATGAAATCAAAGAAATAGAGGGTTTATTGTTTTACAGTGAATGCACCTGTGGGATGGTCCTGAACAAGGTGGTTTAGCCAGGTGCTGGAAGACATGAAAAAGAGAGGAAAGAGGTATTAAGAGATTGAATGAAGGCTTATCAGAAGAAAGAATAGGTTTGAGACTTTCATTTGTTGAGGTATCCAGTTTTCCACCAGTTTCTTTAAACATTTCTCTGGTATCTACCTCTTATTTCTCATAAACATATTCATCATTCATTGTTTCACTCCCTTGCCACAGTGAGGCACAGGATTTGGCAGGGACAAGGATGGCTGGTTGCAGAACTTTCTGGATATATATTGGCTTCTAGTGAACAGCCTGTCACTCAGGTTTGCACAGCAAATGGAAGTGACAAAGCAAGGAAGGGAGGAATATCCTGGGCTGTAAGAGGGATGCTTACACAGGTCATGTTCCATGTCTGGGTTGTTGGGGTGGAGCACAGTTACAGTTCCTTCCCTAAGGGTGTGGGTGGAGGATATGATGACGGTGTCTGGGAATGGAGCTCTGCCCAGTTGTGGCCGACTTGTCCGGACGTTTCTTCACCTTGGTTTTGGCTGGGTGTCCCATCTGCCTCGTGACCATACTAATAGGTGGGGTCCTGGTGCCCTCGATCTTAGGTCATCTGAGGGAGGCTGAAGGTCAAGGAAGATCACTTATGACCCAAGCGTTGTCTCCTTATATTACATCATTCAAACAGATCCCTAATTAGTGCTGCGAAATTTCGAATGAGGAGAATTTGTGTCGGATTGCAGTTACCATTCTTACCAACTGAGCCCTGGGCCATGGCCGCTATTGCGAGAGTTTGTAGTAGTTCCAGTATAAACGAAAGGTAGCAGTTCAATGTATGGTATGTCGTCGAACCCCGGCTGCGTTGTCAACGAATACGGTGTAGTTGGCTGTCGCTATGAAATAATTCGCGAAATAAGGAGGGAAGGGGGTTGTTATTTGTGAATGAAAATTGTTGTGCAGACGAAGTGAAGGTGCGCTTGAGAAGGAAAGTCGTACAGCAATATTTTCGTCTTTGTTTGTAGTGTTGGTTAATTTGTACTCGGTTTCTTCTCTGTTAAGATTTATATAAATAATAGGTCCGTGATTCCTGATGATTGTAATATCAGGTGAATGTGGATGTTATATCAAGAGATCAGTGCATGAGTGTCGTTGAAAGCTGACATGACAGTCGAGGATCCTTTTTTCGTGGTGAAAGAGTAAGTAGGTCTTATCTCGAGCATATATAATTTCATAAATGTGGTATGGGAGAATTTTACTTGGAAAAGACGCACCTGGACCTTCTTGACGCACGTCAGTGTTAGAGATTTGGTATTTTGTATTCAAATTTCAGTCCTTTGAAAGGACAACAAGAACATCATAATCACAGATCGCAGGTAGTTTTTTCGTATAACGTGCCTGGATTCCATTTAATGTTTCATGGCAATATGATAGATATCTGTCCATTATCATACAAAATGGTGCAGTATGACAGTGGTCTTCTATCAAGTAGTGAAATAAATAACATTCTTTTAGACCAGTTCTCTTATTATATCTGAATTGACTGCACTGTTTTCTCTTCATAGGGGTTTTGTAGAATTATAGCATCTGTGCACTTCTTTTTCATTTAATCTTGCAAAGAATCTTCTAAAGGATCACATTTTGTGATGTTAGCACAACTTACAAGGACCCATATGTGTGGTGCATATTGCCAGTTTCATGACAAATTTGAATAACTGCAAGACAAATCAATTATATTATTTGCTTATGATGTAAGGGAGGGTTATTTTTTTCCCCCTAAAGATGGAGACAGTACATCCTCTGAAACAAAATTTAACTTCAGCCAGACTACACGGCGTCACACCCCATAACTGTGATAGTTCCAAATCAAACATGATTTTTATTGATCTGTTCTTGACTGATGGTTCTGTGCGGATAGAAATGGAGTATATTGTCAACACAGATATGGTTTTACGGGCTGTGACATCATGTAGTTTGTAGATAGATACTGATGTTTTGGAGGAACCTGCCACCTCCATCTTCAGGATGGAATAGTATGGAACTGGGAAATCATGTTTTGGTCTCTGCACCTCAGTAGGAAGGACAAGGAATAAGGTCTCTTATTTTTCTTGATTCAGAGGGCTTTAAACCTTTAGACTTGTGGAGTAGTCCTCCTGTAGAGGAAATACCAATACCTGTCTACCAAACTACATGCTGTCACTTCCCAAGAGACTTTAATCTTCATAGTTACTGTCGTGAGAACCCAAGATCTTTCATGTGTTGCATGACTTCCATACTGCCTCGGGTTTCAAACCTGAAAAAGGATGAAGCAGTGTGTTTTTGTGAAATGTTTGTTAGCCATATACTAGACTGTACAGTGTGACATCACACAAGATTGTACACTCTTAACCCTTCAAAGCCCAGTGGTAATTATATGTACCACTTGCTTTAACATAAAAAAACTCTACATTCTGCCGACAAAGTGTATCTGTGTGTTACATTACATTACATCACATCACATCACATTGTGTTCCCTGGATCCAAATTTAGTCAAAACGACTGTAGGATGTGGAATATAATATATAAATACAAGAACATATGTACAGTACAACTGAAGTTTTCACACAAGAAAACCCAAGAAAACACATTGGTTACACATGAAGGTATTAAAAAATAAAGCCACATATATACATCAATATTGTCAACTCATGCTGTTTACACAGCCTTTAAATCAATGAGTTAGTGTTTTTTAGACAGTAGACTGAGTGTGTGCTTAAGTATCGTTTTAGTGCTAATTTATATTGTGCTTTTTCATTCATAAGACTTCTGAGATCAAATGGCAGATTATTGAAAACTTCGATCCCAACATAATATGCACTTTTCTGAAAGCATGAGAGGTTAGCAGCTGGTTTATGGAGATTAGTGCTTGTGGCTGGTCTGAAAATGTTCTTCATTATTTGTAATGAAGATCATTAATGAAAATATATACACATGGAAGGATTAAGATCTCTAGTCTCTTAAATAGATCTTTTCAAGAACTATTGGATTTGACACCCATAATGAGGTTAACGTTTTTTTTTTTTTGCAATGTCAATAACTTTATGCTGTCAGATGAATTACCCAAGAAAATTATTCCTTACTTCATTAAAGAGTGAAAGTGAGTGTCAGTGTTGCTGGTATGCAACATAAATCTAACTACATAACATGCTCCACTTAACTTTGGAACTAACTGGTTGAAATGGCTTTTGTGGTTTAAATGATTATCAGTTTGTAAGCCAAGGAATTTTATGTTTACTGCCTCTTATATATATTTGTTCTGTATGATGCTCACAATAAACAGCGACTGTTTCCCCAAACAGCATTAACTGGTTGGTCTCTGTGGTGGAGACGTAATGTGTTTCCTGTGAGGTACAGACTGAATTCTTATATATAAAGTCTCTGCATTCTGCCCACACAGTGTATATGTGTGTTCCATATGATTCTCACAATAAACAGCGACTGTTTCCCCAGACAGCATTAACCGGTTGGTCTCTGTGGTGGAGACGTAATGTGTTTCCTGTGAGGAAGGGACTGAACTTTTATATAATACATAGATGTTACTTGGTCTTTAAATGGTTAATATTCATTCCATGGAAGCCTCATATGTAATAACAGGTCATCATTAGGACACTGAAATTTTGATGGGAGTGTAATAATGAAATGGACTTAAGGAAATATCTTATGGAGATGTGAACTGGATATAGGTGGCTAAGGACTGGGCTTTGCGGTGTCCATTTTGGGTTCCGTAGTGAGTAGTAGTTTTTAACAGTTAATATACTATGACTTCTGTGGCAAGATGATTTGTGCACAAGTTAGTTTTGTCGGTGGCATTTGCTTTAATGCTGTGGTACTTTGCTGAAACTAATTACTTTAATGGTCAGTGTGACACACCCTTGTCATTCCCATGAGATATCACGTGCCGTGTGACTCATAACCTTTCTGGGACTTCCATTATGCATATGGTCTAGTAAATAACAGCTCATTTCTCATGGTAATTTAATTTTATTTTTTCACAAGGATTACAAGTCGATAGGGTCAGAGGATCATAGCGAAATCACGAACTGCTGCTATAGAATTTAGAGAATGTTAATGTTTTATTTTATGGTAAAATGTGTGTGTTGATGAAGGAAATGTTTATTTGGGGGATGGACCACATTATTGTTGATGTTGATAAACATGATAAGGATGACAGTCAATGAAATGGTCCCCATATCTTCCGTTATCACATGCTACTTATTTTAGAGGTTTGATGAAGATTGTCTCTCTGACAACATTTGACATGTATGTCCCAAGTTACGTTTGTGACTCCATTGTGATATTGTTATGAGCAGCTTAAATGATCTAAGTGCCATGGTGATCATTGTGATGATTGTTAAAGACTGTGACCCTCTAGTTTGTTTTAACTTATACTCTTGTAGGCGGATAGCAGTGTTTCAGAGGAACATGCACATATCAGCCACTTCTCCATCGTCCTATGTGATGTCACAGCCAAAAAGACCACTGTTATAATTTAAGGGGTCATTTGCATTTTCACAGATGTTTATTCCAGCAGTTTGTTGTTTGTCTTTTTTATCTGTAAACACAATGGAACACACATATAACATATGGGAAACATTTCCACATCTTGCAGAAGAATGTGATGTAATTTTGGCTTTAGTGGTGTAGCGGTGTTGTGTTTCCAAGTTGCTCTGACATTTCAGCATGCATTGCAGCCACCACTTTCAGGGTGAGTGAGACAGCTGGGTTAGTATATGGGTCTCAAAGTGGAAGTAAGGAGGGTGCATGGAGCATGATGAAGTCCATTCGGAAGGGGCCATGGTCTCGTATATAAATCTTACAGTGGTATATCTAGTGTACACTTGGTGTGTTACTTTCAGAGGGCTGTCACATCTCAGTGTTAATGACTTGGGGAGTACAACTTTCAGTTGCCCCAAGCCCTCATACCACTGCTGGGTACACTGTGGGCCCTTCAAAGACCCCTTACCATAATGCTAGAGCCATAACTATCCAAACTGAGGCCCTTTTGACATCTGTATGCCCTCACTGTGCAGACGTGAAGGCCTCTGTTCCCTGCTCACCCACAGCTGTGCTCTGGTGATGTGTATGGCATCCTCCTCCTATCAACATTTCCGAGAGGCCCGTATCATGTAGGGTTGCCACAGTATACATTGGCCAGTCAGCAACTCCATCATCAGCCTACATTGTTTCCTGTCCAAGGCCAGTAGGCTTACACAGTTTATCTGAAAGGCTTCCCATGACGAGCTTCAACAGCCGCTGGCCCAGTGGCACAGCGTTTGAAGTGCCTCTCCCCAGCCACTCCTTAATCTACTCAGACATGGTCAGATTGTAATTGCTGGTTTGGGATCGAGGAATGCATCTCATATCGCGTAAAGAGATAAATTGTTAATTATTTTTTGCAGTGATGTTTGTATAGCATTGAACAAGACACGAGGCCTATACCGTCGGTGGATTGATCTGCAAGACGATACAACTAATAGTGTATCTAAGGATGAAGTGGAGTGGACCACCACAGAATTACGAAATGCACTACGGAGCATTGAGTGGGATCTAGAGGATGTTGAAGACACTATAGATATCCTTTTCTGGCTTCTTCATGGTGTCTGTTTTGTCTGTTCCTGGCTGTTAATTGCCTGTGGCTTTCTGCGAACTTTTGCCTAAGGATCTATGAATTTAACTAGCTCATTCTGTAAAGCAGAGGCCTTCTTGAGAAGCTGATATTTGGACAACCAGTGAGGCAGTTACCTACCTTTTATGGAGTCTGGAAGTTTATTAATATATTCACAGGAGTCTCTCTCTGGACATAGATACCATAAAGAAAACACAGAAACTTTAGTTGATGCAAGTAAGGAGGTTGGTCTAGGAGTAAACACAGAGAAAACTAAGTACATGTTGCTTCTCATCACCAAAATGTAGGGCAAAACCATGACATAAAGATAGGTAACAGATGTTTTGAAAATGTGACACAGTTCACATATTTTGGAATGACAGTAACAAATCAAAACCTGATTGAGGAGGAAATTAAGAGGTGATTGAACTCGGGTAATGCTTGCTACCCTTCAGTCCAGAAATTTTTGTCTTCTCGTCTGCTGTCTAAAAACATAAAAATTAGAATATACAAAAGTATAATTTTACCTGTAGTTCTGTATGGGTGTGAAACCTGGTCTCTGACATTAAGGGAGGAACCTAGATGGAGGGTGTTTGAGAACAGGGTGTTGAGGAGAACATTTGGACTGAAGAGGGATGAAGTGGCAGGATGTTGGAGAAAACTGCATAATGAGGAGCTTCATAATTTGTACACTTCTCCAAGTATAATTAGAATGATCACGTCAAGGAGGATGAGGTGGGCAGGGCATGTAGCACAAATGGGGGAGAAGAGGAATGCATATAGGATATTGGTGGGAAAGCCAGAAGGAAAGAGACCACTAGGAAGATCAAGACTTAGGTGGGTGGCTAATATTAAAGTGGATCTTAGACAGGATGGGGTGATGTGAACTGGATTGATCTGGCTCGTGATAGGGGCGAGTGGAGGGCTCTTGTGAGCATGGTAATGAACCTTTGGGTTGCATAAAATGTTTGGTTGTTCTTGAATAGTTGCACAACTGGTGGCTCATCAAGAAGGGCTCAGCTGCATGACGTTAGCTTAGTTAGTTTAATGATGCCTACACAAGATATGACACCCTGGTTCGTAGCGTAGATGGGCTTTATCTTAATTACATTGTGCCTAGTCCTTGTTAAAAAGCCAATATTTGCTCAGCCTAGCAGGAAATTCTCCACCTTTTATGGAATTTGAAGTTTTCTTAACCACAACTGTTTTTCTGAGCTGGGTGAAACAGTTTGTTTGTTTGTTTGTTTGTTTGTGGTTCTTTTTCTTTGGGAGGTTGCAGGTTACTTTGTGGCAGTGTCGTCATCCACACCGTGTAGCCGTGAAGGTTAGGATTTATGGATAAAGAGTTGGAGAATGTTTTCAGGGAAGTGTCCATGGCGAAATTAAGGTACTGGCATGGTATCGGCCTGGAATGACTGAGAAAACCACGAGAATTCTGTCAGGATAACCAGCGCCCCAACTGAGATTTGAACCAAGCACCTTACGAATACAAGCCGAGAGCATTACCACTAGATCAACGTGTTCAGTATTTGTATGAAAGTCTTCACATCTGTTCCGAATATAGGAATATTGCTTTTAAGGGGGGTTTTATTGTCATTCACTTAGATAAGCATTGACAGGCATGCGGTTGCACGGCTTTGCTCTCTTGTGATATTCCGTAAGCCATAAGCTGAGTGGTAGTCTGTGTGGGTATTGTGCTGGAAAACAGGTATTATGAACATTAGTGGACTCAAGGATGATACTAGCCAAGGTAAACTGTAATTTAAACAGCAAATGAAATACAAGGTCACAGAAACTACATGCATGATATCACTGTATGACTCCTATTATATCCCTGTTGATAACATGCAATACTGTTCATTGCTACCAACATTCTCAATATGTTACATATAGAAGTATAACTTTTCCATAGATTACTGACTTCTGGGATGTGCTTCAGTAAATGTTTACTCATGTTGCAGAGGAATGTTTGTAAACATGTATGAGGTATCTTGCACAAACCAGAAGACAGTTCATAATCACCAGTGTGACCTCATACCTAACATGTAACTATTGTTTCCAGTACCCTACCTCAAACTTAAAAGAGAACACTGAAAGATGTTATGAAATTCACTCTGAAGTCATGTCAGTATGTACAGTAGTCATGGCTGTTAGTGTAATGTGTAAGTATTGTGGTACAGTTCAGTTCCTCATGCACAATCCTTTTGTTTAATTGAATGAGTGAATTTTAATTTCTTAATTGGATGGAATATCTCCTTTAAAACTTTAGCCACTAGCCATTGTGATATTGACAAGGAAAGTGACTACCCCCCAGTGAGGGATAGGTGCTAACACTTCCTCGCCATAAAACACATATCTGATGGTGTCATGTGTGTGTGTGTGTGTGGAATTCAAATGATGAATTTACTTCTTTGTGGGGGGGGGGTTGTATAATTGCATTGCTGAAAACATTCTGTAATAGTCAGAAGTCTCTCAGGTAATGCAACACAGAAACAGTCTTGTGTTTAAAGGTTGCATGCAGTCTTCTGTGATGTGACACCGTGTAGTTTGGTAGATGGGTACCGATATTTTGGAAGACTCTGCTGCTTCCACTTTCAAGGTGGAAGAATATGTTCATTGTGTCTTTTCTACCCTGAAGATGGAGGCAGCAGGTTCCTCTGAAATGTTGGTACCCATGTACCAAACTACATGGTATCACATCACAAGACCATAATCAGTGGGTGGGCATGTGTAGCGGTAGTACTCTAGACTTACTCATATTCTGAAAGTGTTCCAGTCAAATATCAGCCGTGACACAGCATATCCTGACTGAAGTTTTCTGTAGTTTTCCTCAGCCCCTTCAGACAGATGTCAGGATGATAGCTTTACTGTCCATGACCACTTTCTTCCAAATCTTTTTCAGCTCATAATTTATGATCCTATATTGTGTAGATATTGGTGTGTGACTATAGGTGGGGTATGGATTGCAGAATAGATTTATTGACCACTTATATACACTGCATGGAACTACAAGTAATTACAGCGCTACTGCTAATCTTCACAATTTAAAGATTCCCACAGCACACGCTGAGCTTTTTCCAGCCTGCTATGTCTCCAACAGTCATTCCCTAGCAATGGCTTCTAACAGCGGAGATTGTCCAGTTACCTGCTCTCATGTCCTATCTACAGAGCCACCCATGCAGAACTCTTCTACAGCGCCATCTCTTCTCAGCCTTCCTTGAAGAACTCAGCTGAACTAAACTCAGCCAGCCTGGGGTGCTCACCATGTAGCCTTGGAGTGGATCCAACAGAAAACACTGCTTCCAGCAGTTCTTCGATTGTTGTCATGGGCAGTTGCTTAGTGATACCTTGGGTATTATTTCCATGGGAATGTGTTTACAAAGCTATTGCTTAGAAATGGGCGTTTATTTATCTGTCTGTTTCATAGCAACAACTGCACACATTGTATGTTTCGAGGTCTTTGCCCATCAGGTGGTCTACATGCCCCAATACCCAAGCCCCCCCCCCCAAGATAGTGGCTTTGATACTCCCCACAGTGAGAACGTAGACCTCGTGAAGCCTGCAGTGTGACGCTGATTTTATAGGTTTATCTGGGGAGTGCCATTGTCTGCCTTATCTCTTCTTGTCTTTATGGCTGTTCCCATGTTCGTGTATGTTTGACTGTTATCTGATAGCCACGTTTTCACGACTGTTCTACTGCTTATATGGCAGGAGCTTTTATGTTGCCATAGTAAGTATCACTGTGATACCAGTATCACTCCCTGTATTGCATAATAAGGGCACTGAATGTCTTGCTAAATATATGATCCATTGAGGTAACATATTTAGGTTGGAGAACCTGACAGGAAGACACAAGTTTGGACACCTAGACAGTAGGTAGATAGGTAGAAGCTAATTTTGGTTGGAGACCCTGATAGGGAGAGACAAGTTCGGACACCTAGACAGTAGGTAGATAGGTAGAAGCTAATTTTGGTTGGAGACCCTGATAGGGAGAGACAAGTTCGGACACCTAGACAGTAGGTAGATAGGTAGAAGCTAATTTTGGTTGGAGACCCTGATAGGGAGAGACAAGTTCGGACACCTAGACAGTAGGTAGATAGGTAGAAGCTAATTTTGGTTGGAGACCCTGATAGGGAGAGACAAGTTCGGACACCTAGACAGTAGGTAGATAGGTAGAAGCTAATTTTGGTTGGAGACCCTGATAGGGAGAGACAAGTTCGGACACCTAGACAGTAGGTAGATAGGTAGAAGCTAAAGGGAAATTTACGCCATGCGTAATTAATCCGTTGCACTCCACGGGCCAATCAGACTGACTGATGTTTTGTTGTCAGTTTGTGCAACAGTCCTGTCAGTAGATGCCATGAAGTGTGACATTCTGATGCTTAGAAGGAAAAAAGCAGTCTTTCACATTGTCTATATGTGTTATCATTTGAAAGTCATCTGACAGAAGTACTGTGGAATTATCTATGTGACTGCATTTATGTACACTTTGATGAGCTGACAAGGGGTCTCCCAAGGGGGTGGATTGGCGTGGGGCTAAGAACTCACCTTAAAATATAACCTTGTTACGAAATGTCACAAAATGTGACACAGTTCAGATGTTTGGGAACAGCAATAACAAATCAAAACCTGATCCAGGAGGAAATTAAGAGGGGATTGAACTCGGGTAATGCTTGCTACAGTTCAGTCCAGAACCTTTTGTCTTCTCATGTGCTGCCTAAAAACATAAAAATTAGAATATACAGAATTAGAAATTTTTGCCTGTGGTTTTGTATGGGTTTGAAACTTGGTCTCTGACATTAAGGGAGGAACGGAGACTAGGGTATTTGAGAACAGGGTGTTGAGGAGAATATTTGGACCGAAGAGAGATGAAGTGACAGGAGGTTGGAGAAAAATGCATAATGAGGAGCTTTGTAACTTGTACTCTTTGCCGAGTATCATTAAAATGATGAAGTCAACGTCGATGAAATGGGCAGGGCATGTAGCACGAATGGAGAAGAGGAATGCTTGTAGGATATTTGTGGGAAAGCCAGAAGGAAAGAGACCACTAGGAAGACCAAGATGTAGGTGGGTGGGTAATATTTAAATGGATCTTAAGGAGATAGGCTGGGGTGGTATGGCCTGGATTGATCTGGCTCAGTATAGGTACCAGTGGAGGGCTTTTGTGAACACAGCAGTGAACCTTTGAGTTGAGTTGAGCTCTTGAGTAGTTGCATAACTGGCAGCTTCTCAAGAACGGCTCAGCTGCATGAACTTAGTTAGTTAGTTAGTTAGTTAGTTAGTTAGTTAGTTAGTTAGTTACATGCCCCTACTTCAGAAATATTGCCAAAGAATTTGATTTAGGGGAGTAACGAAACTCCTCTGCAGATGCTGCAGGTGTATTAGATCTTTGCAGCATCTGGACCGTGAAAGTTCGATGGAACAGAAAGTTTCAAGAAAGCAGTCTCTCTGAGTGAAACCTGTGTGTTGACATAACTTTGCAGGGCATTCAGTTTAATTTGTCATGCATGTCTTGGTGACACTGCACATGCGTGCGGAACCAAACTTAATTGGTGAAAGTCACACTCACTGGCCAACTGATTTGTTTGTATAGTCACAGTGGATGTGCAAAGGAGGTGACCTTGCAGAGTTCACAGTTACCATATCTCTGAGCTAGTTGTCTAGAAAATGTGGGGGCCTCAGCTTTACCTTTTTTACCTATACTATTGAAAAGTTTATGTAGACACTGTTTATCTTTAATGCTTTTTATTTATATATTTATGTTGAATTATATTAAGAGGAAAGGGGAACCTGAAACAATAAAGAAACCTGTGATTTGATAATGAAATTTAAAGAAATAAGTTGAGAGAGTGAGAATTGAGAACTGTCTCTAGAGTGGGGTATTCTAGGTTTGCAGGTCCCTCAGCTCTAGGTTAGTTGCCAGCATTCTTATGGTCACCATATATGACTTAGTATGTTGTCTCTGTTTAGTTACCACATGAGCATCTAGCAGTAATGCTTTAGGCTAACAATTTGATAGAGTCTGTTTGAATTACATTTGAATACCAGCTATCCTGATCCAGTTTTTGTGGTTTTCTTCAGTCCCCTGATGCAAATACTGGTACAGTATCTTGATTAGGCCACAACTAGTTCCTTCAAAATCCTTTCCAATTCATTACTCATCACACATTTCATCATTTAATGTAATATAGGGTGCACGCAATAGCGTAATTGGTTGAGGTACTGTATTACAAGCTGAAAGGTCGCGGGTTTGATTCCTGATGAGGTCATTGCATTTTTCAATTGACCTAATCCTTCCAGCCACACTATGGCCCTTGGAGTCTACTCAGCTTCTAACAGAAATGAGTGCCAGGAATCTTCCTGGGGGTAAAGGGCGGGCGGAGCGTAAGACTGACAACTTTACAGCCATCTGTTAACCGATTGTCTAGAAAATGTGGAAGCCTCGATGTCTCACAACCCTATGGGCCTCCACAGCCTGTTACAGGGATAGCTTTACCTTACCTTTTAATGCTATATAGACTAGATATTGAAAATTCCATAAAATAAATTAGAAAAAAGAATTTGGTTACTTCACTGTTATTCAGTAATGTACAATGAAATGGATTCGGAATGTAAAAATATTCCGAGTTATAATGGAAGAAGGTGGCAGTAATAAGTGACCGTTTTGCAGTTGATGTTGACAATGTTGATAATGTTTCGGAGGTGTGCTGTATAGGAAGCAGGGTGGGCCCCAGAACCAGTCGGGACACTGTGAACAAGAGAAAAATCCCTTCCCCCTGCTGGAAACCAAACTCTGATTCCTCGGCCATCTAACCCATAACCTGGTGCTATACCATCTGAGCTATCCTGTTGTCACGTAATGAGTTAAATTTTTGATAGCTTTTGTTGAGAATAACTTTTTTAATAACTGCTTTTCCAGCGTGTAATGAAGAAGGTGCACTGATTCCCACAAGTGGTATTGTGGGACAGAAACAGGTGACATTAGTTTTCACTGCTGCGTTACTAACTTTCATATCAGGCTCAGCCCAGAGTCTTGGAGTCCCCAGTTTCCCTGATGTCGTGTCCCCAAAATACATTTTACTGGGTAGGCTGGTGTAGCATTAGCGTTATAGGCTTATATATGGGAGGTGCTCGGTTCAAATCTTGGCCATGACACTAGCTGTCCCGATGGAGTCTCTTCATGGTTTCTCAGTCCCAGGCATATGTCAAGACAGTCCATCTTTTAAGCCATGACTGCTTTCTTTGAATTCCTTCCCAATTAATCCGTCATCCTGTTTGACAGCATATTCTGGATACTCTGACAGTGCCAAAGGACAATCCACAAGAAAGAAATTGCGTTTTCATGACCGAATTTCAGAACTGTGATCCTTAACTCTGACTTCACGCATTGTCGAGAAAAATCCAAGTAAATTTAAAATTGATAACAAGGAGCTGAGTAGCCGGAAAAGTTTTATTGACCAAACCCGGGAAGAAGTGAAGGTGAGTGTGCTTATTGCATGCACCCTGGCCACTTCCATTTGGACACAAGGGTACAAGTCAGCTGATACTCAGTCATGTGTGTGTTGTGTTGGTTAGAGTTGTCAGCGGAAGGAAGGACATTTAGAAGTAACCTGAGTATAGCACTGACAAAAGCAAAATTAATTAAATAAGGGAATTAAAGAAATATATATCATCACACAGGCTTTATTTCTGCCCTTATAATCTGAACTACATGTTGTGGTCAGTTAGATTGCCACTGTCCAGTGGCCATATACACAAACATTGTACAAAACTACAGAACTGTAAGAGCGTCAGACTTCTTTCTTTGTTTTAAAGTCTTCATGGCAGGAAGTATTCATATTGTCATCCGGGTTGTTAACATTGTGTAGTCTTGTAAGTAATGCATTGTTCTTCTTGGCCCAAACAGGGCTCCTTCTCTCCCCATCCCCTGGTTCCGAGTGACTTCATCTGTCGTCACCCAGCCTGTACAGTGTAAGTCCCTCTGGAAACCCCAACAAGAATTTAGAATCACTCTGTAGGCCAAATACATTGCTGCAAGGGTACTGCAGTTCTAAATTATTGTCAGGGTTTCTGGAGGGACTTATGAATTACCCAGTATATCCTGACCCTTGTCATTTTGACCCTGAAGATGTTATTGCCTAGTCCCCCTGAAACATTGGTATGTACCTACAAGACTGCATAAGGTCATGCTATATCTCAGGCAGTCACTGGCTTCCCATCGTGGCATCCTGTGTTCAATCCCAGGTCAGGTCACATGGAATTTGTGGTGTATGAAGTGGCGCTGGGGTAGGTTTTCTCCAGGTACTTCAGTTTCTGGTATGAATTCTCTTTCCACCAATTTCTACATGTTCATTAATTATCCTGTCATTGATGCTATGTAGTCTGGTTACTGACAGTATTGTTAAATAACAAAACGGTAAAGATAGAGCTGTCCCTGTGCTTAACTAATTAAGCACTATGCCATGAAGACGTACTCATACATTAAATAACAAACTAAAAAACTGCAAGATTGCACATTCATTGACATAACCCAGGAGACCATAAACTGAACTCTTGTTGATTTGTTTGCAGACTATGAAAGATAAGATGAACACATCCAGGGGCAGAGATTGGGACAGAACTGCTAGACAGGTATGCACACACAAGCACACAATGTCTTGTTGGTATGCAGAGGGTAAACTATACCTCTGAAGTTGTATCATTATCACATGGTGACATAAATCATTAGAATAATCTTGCAGACTGCACAGAACTGTTGCATGGATCACGTATCGTCCACATGCTACAAGTTGGATGATGCCGATCTAAATCTTTCACTGTGAAAACATGTTGGGACGTGTATTTTATGTAGAATTCCATGTGTTCTTACCTGAAGTGTGTTTCGCCCACAGCCACTTCTGGAGAACAGTCCAGTTCGAGTTCCAACAAGTCATGGAACCACGAAGTATTCAAAGCTGGAGAATGAACTGGACAGTCCAAATCGACATTTTCTGGATGACACACTCCAACAACAAAACCACATCGTGAGGACGCAAGATGAACAGCTGGATATGATTAGTGATTCAATTGGGACGCTCAAAACTGTGTCCCGACAGATTGGAAACGAGTTGGATGAGCAGGCTGTGTAAGTACCTGCATGCCCTGCAGACATTGTCACTCTGCACTCACGCGTCCAGTGCCCCTACTTGATGGTACCATGTGTTCCTTCTGTCATAATTGTCAATGTGGTCAACAGTGCTGTTCTGGTACCTGAAGGTTCAACACTAAAATCACATTAGCCTGCCATTTTACCCCGTTGTGAGCGACTGGAACTTTACCCTGCCCTTCTTTGTTTTAGGATGCTAGATGAGTTTGGGAATGAACTGGAAAACACAGACTCTAAACTCGACACCGCAATGAAGAAAGTCGCTAAGGTACTTCATATGTCAAATGGTGAGTAGGAGAAGCTTGCTTCTCTTGATGATTAGTATAGAGCAGGCACGTCCAACGTGTCGATCTCATAGGCCTATAAGGAAATTATACATGAAAAGCATGTAAATTCACTTGTAATATAATATGATTATATTCAGATTTTGAAGGGAAAATACGTATTAAAGTAGTCTGTACTCTTAATGTATGTTGCTTTTACAACAGACATCATGTGTCGTGTTATTTTTACCAATATTTTTGCTTAAAGCGAAGTATGACGATAGGAGGGGGTGGTAGATCACTGGCAGTTTTGACACTAAAAAGTCGATCACAACCTGTTTGAAGTTGGTCATGCCTGGTCTAGAGAAACAGATGAAAGTTCTGTTTGGGTGACAGGATCTTAATCCTTTGAAGCACAGCTGTAATTACTGTATGTATGTGACACCTGCTGTAATGTTAAGATTCATTTGTTCTTCTTGTAGTGTTTTGTGACATAACTGTCCATTGTGCATGATGATAACAATGATGATAACGGTGACAATAACATCAGTAACAAGACAGTAACATCTGTGATGATGTATGTTGAAGTAAGGTCTGAAACTGGATAAGCAACTTATATGTTTTGTGTTTCCAGATCGAAGGCAATGGATTGCTATTGCAGTTCTATCGGGAATAATCATAGTTGTCATCATTCTTTTTATCTTCACTTGAAGAGTTCCGCAGCCGTTGGGATAAGCGGCAGGATGTCTGTTTCATATGTTTAGTGTAATTAGCCCCTTGTTAGTCATGTGGAGGTCATAGATATACTGCAGTAAGTCTGATGTGACACACAGCATGACACAGTTGCTCCAGGAGGTCATGAACGTGAGTGGGTGCTTATATAACTTCAGTGTTTACAAATCTATTAGGCTTTTGTTTTCTAAATAGAATGATCAGTTAATTTTGTAATCCTGTGTGTGTCTTTCTACATCTTAAAGTAAATTATTTGTTTGCCAACAAAAAGCACAGTAATTTTATCTATCATGAATTTTAAATTATTAGAAATAATGGTCGTCATAGTGAGAAATTTTTCTGCATTATTATGCAGTGCTGTTCATAATCTTAGTGCTTCATGAAACTATAAGCAACGCATAGTAACATAAATCTCAGTAGATAGGGATGTGTGAACTCTGGGCCGTGCGTTGGAAGTGCATCTTGAAAAATTCTACCTGGCCTGTAGCAATACTGCGGCATTTTTAATTGTGTGATCCACAAACACAGTACAGAGTAAGTATTGCAGTCATAAAAGTGTAAGAGAATAAATGATTCTAAATTTTGATGGGAAATCAAATTGTGTTTGATCTCATTTTGTGCATCTAAAACTGGTTGTAAGGCAGAGTTTATGTATAAATAATTCCGTCTTCTCAGAAGCAGGCAGCAAGCAAAGCTTTGCTCGTTAGCAGCTTCTTGCAGCTTTCTTGTTGGGCTTACTCTTCAGCCCTGAAGATGAAGGATACATGTTCCTCTGAAACGTCTTTTGACTTTCAGCAGACTACGTGGTGTTATATCCCAGAAGATAGAACTCTTCATAACCACTGCTGTGAGAACCTCGAGTCTTACAAGTCCTAATGGTTTTGCATTGCAGTAAGTGAGGCAGGGCTTTGTAGCTGTCTTGACCGATATTTTCTGTGGTTTTCCTTAGTTCCTTCAGGCACATGCTAGGATAGTAGATCATAACTGCTTTCAGAGGCTTTCCAATTTATAATTAATCTATTTTCCGACAATTGAACGGTATATAAGCTTGTTACTGACAACTTTATGAAACAAAAAAATTTAGCAAATATGTACTGAAAATAATGGAATTATGCTTCTTAAAGAAAGGCATTCATAAATACAAAATTGAATGGTACCAGACTTAACTGGGTTACATATTTTTCAATGAAAATTAAAGTTACTGAAACCAAAGGAACTACAATCAGGGGAAAGAATTTTAATTTTAAGTGACTATTCTCAGAAATGCAACTGTTGTATTGGGTGGACACATGTATGTTTTTTTAATCAAGGTGCGTAATGCCTTATAGTTTCATAAAGCAATGAAATGGTGCACAGATTTTGAATATCCTATAGCTGCATTGTTGACTGGTATTTCCTGTTCAGGGCTGTACTGTACTGTGAGGAGGTTAAACTCATATTATAGATTAAGAAGCAATCAAATTTATAATTTATTACATACAGATTACCAAAGTGGTATGTTTAGTTGTGAGGTAGATGTATACCCGTCTGAAGAGAGTTTAAAATAAAAGTAGTGCAATATGTCCACGCGCAGAGCAGTGGTTCTAAACCTGTGGGTTGTGAAGGTTATCATGGAGGGTTGCACAGATGTTTTTCTTAAAACAACAGTTCAAGAACATGCCACCTGAGATAGCATGGGGATAACTTCTTTTGATTAAAAGGTGGTGTCGACAGTCACGAAAGACTGTTTTCTCACAAAAAGGGGTGCCAAAGAAGAAAGCTGGAGAAGCACTGGTCTAGAGGGACATTTTATACCACACTTAACTTTGTGGTAAGGAAATTTTTTTACTAGAGTAGTTAACTGGGTACATTATTACCTATTGTAGCCTTTAATGGTGATTCAGTGGTGATATCCTGTTATGGCATGATTGGACTGAGCGGAAGTGGAGTGTGTTGTCAGCGTTCAGAGGAACCTACTGTTGCTGTCTTCAAAGCAGAGGAATTCTACCTATGTGATCAGCGCTTTTCCATCCGACTTGATTATTTCTGCACTCCTTGCTGGTTTGCTCTTCATAGAATGGCCCTCTTAAGGGCCATCAGTTTATGTACAGCCCTGCCATCCCTCCCTGTATATGGCATACAGTTTTATTGCTCGACTTACGCTTGGAGGCGCCAGGTTCCTCCGAAACATTGGCAAACTAGGTCACTTCAATGCAAGGTCATTATTCGAAACAGGTTGAAAACCACAGGTACATTTTTGGTGTAGAGTCTTGTTGTTAAGTGCCATTCGATGAAACACTGATGATATCTTCCTTTACTATATTGAATTTATTATTTTCAGGCCCGTTTCTAAGGATAGACTGAAAAATGTAATAAACTTCAAATTTTTAAATGCTCTAGTAATAATTTGATATGTTGTATAGTAGGATATTAGATTGTATATAGATATGGAAAATGGACATTTAATTATTGTTTGGTAGCTTTTAGAAATATTTATTCCATTTATATCAGTGCATCACCTCAAAAGAGATGAAATGTAGGTAAAATAAAATATTTTGTTTAAATTGTTGTTAATAGTTGGTGACTTGAAAAATAGCTGTATATGGTAGTAGGGAGGCTCTGCTCATGTCCTGACATGTCAGTAGCATTGGTATGATATTATTTTTTTTTTTTTTGCTGGCTTTAAATACATGGTACACTTTGTCTTAGAATGTAGGAGGTTTTGCCGTATGTATATAGCATTTCTCTTAATGTAATTAAATTAATGGTCGTACACGTTTCACATTTATTTCTTGGACCTCTGCTTATCATTTATGCTCTTAATAAAAGCACATACATCCAATCATGTATTTTGATGTTTCTGTGCAACTACATTGTCTCTGACTAACATGATAAATAAGAGTTCTCAGATATAACACCGTGTAGCCCACTGAAAGTCAACTGACGTTTCGGAGGAATATGTCCCCTCCACCTTAGGCGTCGGAGAAACCAGCCTGAAAACAGGTGGCAAGCACCTGCTTGCATGCTGATTCCTTGCTTGGCTTAATTTTCGATTCTGACGATGGAGGCGACATGTTCCTCTGAAATATTGGTTGCCTCAGTGGACTACACAAGATAGAACTCTTCATAACGACCTCTGTGAGAACCTCCCATCCTACAGATGATAGATATGTTAGGATGTAATAAGAGTCCATCTACTTTACAAACCAGGATACGTTATAACTTGTACAGGAAACCTTAAGGTGAAGTGTAAAGGTATCCCTGTAACAGGCCGTGAAGGCCCATAGGGCTGTGAGATGTCAAGGCTCCCACATTTTCTAGACAATCAGCTCACAGATGGCAGTGAGATTGTTAGCCTTATGCACTGGCCACCCTTTACCCCCAGGAAGATTCCTGGTACTCATTTCTGTCAGAGGCTGAGTCGACCCCAGGGTCGTAGTGCGGCTGAAAGGATTAGGTAAATTGAAAAATCCAGTGACCTCATTGGGAACTGAACTTGCGACCTTGCCATCGGCTTATGAAAACTGGAAGACTGTAGAAAATGAAATCTGGTAGCTTTTTAATGAAGATGGACAGTCAGTATCATTAACTGATGACTACGTACCTTCATTCCCATGGTAAGTAGAGTTTATAAGCCGTACTTTAAAACCGTTAAACCAAATCTGTGGTAGTAGAAGCCATGTTAGTCAGGGGCTGGGCATATTTAGATTTCTGTGTGCTGGAATTACAAGATATCTCTCTCATAGTTTAGTGACTGTTTACAATTAGTATGTCTGGACTTCATTATCCAGTTTTCCAAACAGAACATGTTTCAGAAAAGCTGAATCTCTTTCTCGCCCCAGGAGAGGTACTGACCAAGTTTGGTACATTGCAAAGAGGTGATGTGTCACTGGACAACCCAAAAAGTGTTGTGTTCTGTTTGGAATACCAGATAATGGATGAGTTCAGAAGCCCAGTGTAACTGTACTATCATCAGAACTGTTATCTTGAAAATTAAGAAGTTATCTTTGGCATATCCTTCAAACGAAAACTAGAAACATACAGGTGTATGCTCGAAAGAAACATAANACGGTGCCAAATCCCAGAAGACTGCTTTCTTCATAGTCACCGCTGTGAAAGCCTCAAATCTTACATAATCATTATTATTTAGGATTTATTTTCAAATAACTTTGTTGCCAAAACTGTAAGAACTACACAATTCTGTGTTACACTGTTAAAGAGCTACTTTCATTGGTTATTTATGTTTTATTGTGTACAATATGTTGTCTTAGGCCTTAATGGTTCTATCTCCACACTTTTGGGAATAAACAAATTAAACATAGGAGACAGAACAAAAGGGATTTGTTTTTTTTTTCATAATGTGTATTGTAATTTGACTGAGTTTAATGATGGATATACGTACATCCCGTATGCCCAAAGGAACTAAATGCATTTATAACATGAAAAACAATGGAACTGGAGATTGAACCATTAAGAAACAAGTGACAGCTAGCAATATGTCTTTGCAGGAAGAGGTCCTGCTATCAGATACAAGATTCAAACATTGTATGTCTTACATTTGTAAGTAACAATTTGACACTTAAATCAAAATTGTCATGTCGCCCTACACGTCACAATATAATTGACGCTTCACAGTGAATAAATTGTTTATCTCCATTCCTCCATTAAATCTACAGTTTTAGTCAAGCCTTCAGGATTACTGTTCTGGGAGTGATGTCATGTAGTTTGGTAGATTTTACCAGTGTCCGAGAGGGGCCTGCTTGCTGCTTCCTGAAAACTCAGGAAGGTTGGTAATGATGAACTGGACTACACAGTGTCACATCCCAGAAGACACTAATCTTCACAGTCTTCACTGTGAGAATGCCAGAACACTCCTGCTAGACCGAATCTTCTTATTTCTTGTCGTTTCCTTACTGCCCTCCTTCCTTCATCTTCTTTCCTTGCCTCAGAATTACAGATCCTTGGTCATATGGCCCATAGGGTTGTGAGACGTCGAGGCTCCCACATTTTGTAGACACAGTTGGCTCACAGATGGCAGTGAGGTTGTCAGTCTCATGTGTTGGCCATTCTTTACTGCCAGGAAGATTCCTGGTACTCATTTCTGTTAGAGGCTGAGTCAACCCCAGGGTAACAGTGCGGCTGGAAGGATTAGGTCAATTGAAAAATCCAGTGACCTCATTAGGAATCAAAACCGTGGCTTTCTGGCTTGTGGCATAATACCTCAACCAACTATGCTACCAGGCCGCATCATAGCTCAAGCGGTTAATCGCTGGCTTCCCACTGTGGCGGCCCAGGTTCGATCCCGTGTCTGGTAAAGTGGGATTTGTGGTGCCCAGAGTAGCGCTGGGGCAGGTTTTCTCTGAGTACTTCGGTTTCCCCTGCCAATCTTCATTCCACCAATTGCTCCACAATCACCCTCACCTATCATCTGGGGCTGGTACAATAGGCCAGAAGTGGCCGCAGTACAAGGGACTTAGTCCCACCCCACTAGCAAAAAAAAAACTATACTACCATGTGCCCCAAGTTATATTAGTAAAAAATGACACATTTTTATGGACATTATCTGTTATTCTAATTTTTATTTGAAATGATGTTTCGGAGATTATAGTCTATCTCCATCTTCAATTTTAAAAGGTGTTCTGTTGGGCCAAACTGATAGTTAGAGCTCTATTGATTGCGCCAAACAGATTAGGGTGTTATGTGTGGACAGTGACACAGTACCGTCTCCAAGACCTTTCAAATAAAAATTAGGACTATGGATAATGTCCGGAGAACTGATCATTGTACTCGTTTGCCATTTTGGGAGTCAAGGAATTTCCAATAGGAAATCCAGAAAGAGATGAACCACACATGGGTCAGTATCTTTCAGCAGAAGTGGCAGAGGGTTTGAATGTTCGGCACTCATGTCAATTACTGTCTTTTGGGATGTGACACTGTACAATCTGATGTGAATTGACTGCCTTCATCTTCAGGGTAGAGGAGTAAGGCAGACATGACAAGATGTTATAGGAATATTGAAAGAACTTCGGTCAGGGCGCCAAGTGAACCGATAACAGCGAGGAGGGGGAATTGGCGATCAGCTGAATGACTATTAAGCCTGATGACGTCAGCCAACAGAAAAGGTAAGTTCTGGATTCTGTATGGATGTTAATGTTCGTATCAAAATACAGACAAATTTGTGTATCTACGAAATGTACATTAATGGAGTCATTATTTAATTGACTAAAGAGTTTCCGTTGTCACAGCTATGACTGGACCATTTTCTTCTTCGGGTCATAAATATATCTTTTGAAGTGCAGCGCTATTTTTATGGGTTCAGGATCTGGTGAAGTGTTCTGGGGTTGTGTCTGCTTTCCCTTCCTCTTGGTCATACCAGACAGCAGCTCGTACGTTGATTCATTCAGCCCATCTGGAAATTATGAAAACCCAGACTACAATATTTAGGAATATTTTAAGATGCTACAATATAAATGATAGTGTTCATGTTGCAGCCTATAAAGAATTAATTGTGTTTGTAAGAAACTTTAAATAAGTTTTAGAAGGACACGTTGTACGTAAAACGGTGAACCTGTGGCATTTGTTGAGTAAGGAAGAGGGAAGTTTGTTGCAACTGCCCTGGGATTTTGAGGCTGAAAAGGGTGCAGTAGCATGATACAACTGGGTAGTCCCTACAGAAAGGAATATGTATAAGTTAGAGCATAAGAAATTTCATATCCTGCAAAATTAAGAGTACTCTTTCACGTGGCATGCAACACCAAGAATTACATAATAAATTGGAGAGGAATGCGAAACTTGAGGTTCTCACAACGGGGAATATTAACACTACAATTTTCTGGATTGTGATGCTGTGTAATTTGGTAGATATACAGACATTTTGGACGAAAGTTCTGCCTGCATCTTATTCCACTCTAAAGACGAGGGTTGGAAATGGAGGCAGATATGATCAATCTGGTCTACTTTGTTCCAGGATGCCTCATCTTTTTTGGAAACTAATTCCAGTGCCTTAAGACACAACAATTATCATTCCCAGTAATGCTACACTTGCCTGCAACGTAACAGTTTCCTTTTGATGTGCTGGTTATTACCCCAGGTTTTCAACTGATCTTGAACATTACCTAGTTCTGAGGAGCCACTCCATCCCTGCTGAAGATGGAAGCCAATGATTCTTCAGAAACAGTGATACCTACCTACCAAACTACAGACATTCACATCTCACAGGATCTCAGATTGGACTGTGTTCCAGAACAGGATGTACATACCTGGAATACGTATTTTTACTTTTCCACTTTGTCCAAATGAACTTTCAATAATTCCCGTTTCTCCTGTTGATAGTTCAACTTGTAACCCCACAAACAATTGAATGTTGGTTTCTTTTTTAAACATGTTCTTTCCGATCACTTCATACTGATTTGATGCCCTGTCAATGATTCCACTTTTGCATTTCTCCTTATAAATCTTTAGTCTCGGCAACACAGTTGATGAGTAACTCTTATCTTCAATGCCTTCCAACAGATGTCCCCAGAATGCTAGTCTGCAGGTGTTCGTGTGAATATCAGTGTCCAATTTTGATCCTATAATGAGACAGTTAGGAAATGCTAGTACAGGCTTCTCAAATTCAAGCAAAGCGAACTGCTTAACTGGCATTTCTTTTGCTGTTATACTTGTGTCATCCTTCTGTGAGTCAAACAACAGTTCTTCTTGAAACTTGTATTCTTTATCAAAATCAAAGGAATTATCATTGGCTGTGTTCCTAGAATCTTGCAACAAACTGAAGAATGATAACTTTGCCATTACTGTTTCATGGCCTATGCTAATATGGAACTTTGCTTTTGTACTCAAACTTCCTTTGAAGTACTTTATTTTCTGGACAGAAATGATGGCTGATGAAATGGCTGGGACATATCCAGGCATACAGACTATGCCTCGCTCCAGCTGATTGGGGTCAAACTGAGAAATGCAGATGCCAATTCGATCGCCCTGTACTGCACGTTCTACTGGTCTCCTGAACATCTGCAGTGACTTCACTTTCTTAGTTACGTGCACAGATGGTATTTCGACTGTCTGAAAATGAAATGAAATCATCTTGAACTTTCTCCTGTTATTGGCTGCATAAATATATCAAGGAGTAGAATTCTATTCATTCTGGTCCGTCACACTAGTTAATTATTATAGCATGATTTGACAACACCGTCCAGTGAGACTCAGTATATATTTATATAGTGCCTTTACATGTTTCAGCCAGTTGTGACAATCTTCAGAAAGCTATAACATGTTAAGGAACTACTGTTACATAGATTGTAATACATAAACTTTTAGTTTTGTATAAAGATTTTTAATTAAGCTAAAAGGTGTTTAAGTTGAAAATAAATAACTAATGTTCTTAGTATTTAAAATCTTGAACTGCTGAGGTTTGTATCTCTGTGCCTCTTCTGTGAAAATGGAAGACAGTATCTGTGTTGTTTTTCTTTTCGTTGTGTATTGAGGCACTCAACAACACAGGCTGTGCTGGCAAATGTTCAGACTGGGTACTCACTGAATACAAGTCACAAGTGTTATTGCTTAAGGCAAGTTGCCTGGCAAATGCTGGTAATGATAACAAAATCATAATCTTTGAGTGCTTTAGGGGGCTGGAGGGGATTACAGCAGCAGGCAAAGGGGGAGGAATCCTCAAGCATAATCCCCAACATCCACAGGACTGCTTTTCATGGCTTGAATATAGGGATGTTAGAAATTATGCAAGAAGGAACTTTGTAACAGGCTTTTCATGTGACTGCTATGCGAGCTATGGGAAAGTGTGATGTGTGTATAGAATTTTTATGCAGAAACCTTTTAGACAACAGAGATAGAAAGAATGCACCTCCACAGGTGCAGTTACCAGACTACACATACATCATTGACATTGACAGCTCCTTGCAACACAGTGCCCGTCATGACAGTGCCTTGGCCACGAACACCAAAGCAGTGATCAACCGCAAAAAGGAATGGACTCAAGATGTGACGTTCTGGTACAAAGGCAAATTTCTGTAATGTCTCCGTGAGGTCTTGCAACCCTGGAACATAAATATCATGAGCCAGTGTTATACTAGATGAAGGATCAGACTGGGACTTTGCCTAAAATTCGCTACTTTAAATACGACCAAAAATTGTCCTTAGTTTCAAATGTTCCTACAAGCTGCAGTTAATATGCAGGATTTTCTGCTTGTCAGATGTCTGTCTGTGCCTTAGAAAAAGTAGGTTTCACCAAGACTGAGTCCAGTGCTTGAAGTACAAGAATATAACAGTAATAATAACAATAATAGTAATAATAACAGACACCATGCCCAAAATAAAACTAAATCAACAAAACATTGAAATAATTACTCAGCCAGTTGTTCATGGAAAACAATGGCTATACAATGTATCTCATGGCAGTGCCTCTGAAGAATGTCGTCTTCAGGTATTTGGCACCATGTAGATCTTGTGTGAACTAACGTTTCAGAGGAACGTATCGCCTCCATCTTCAAGGTAGAAAAATCCAGGAGCAAGGAACCAGCAAGGCTGCGGACCTGCTCATGCTCGTTCTTCACTCATGGATTTTTCTACCTTGAAGATGGAGGTGATACATACCTCTGAAACATTGGTTCACATAAGATCCACATGGTGCCAAATCCCAGAAGATGGCATTCTTCAATGGCTATACAATTTTGTCTAATTTGAAGAGTATGTGGGCTTCTGGGCTGTAATCCTGTGTAGTCTGAAAAAAGAAAAAGCCCAACAGTTCAGAGGAACATAACCACCTCCATCTTCAGAGGCAGTGAGTAATCCAAGCAAGAGACCAGCTTGAAGCAGACAGTAAGTGAACTTATCTAACAGAATACAGAAGCTGCATACCTACAGGTAAAGAACTCTGTACACCTTCTGAGCCCCCAGGATTTGCTGCAACACTCACAACAGGGGCATCCTTAAATACTGAGTTAGCTAATGTCAGCTTCATTCTCTTTGTCATCTGCAATGAAACAACTGCAGTAAGTCTTTTTATGGTGTTTCTGGTTACCACAGTCCTGAAGCCCTACCAAATTGTGACATGTGCTACGAAATATATGGCATTATCCTCCTAAGCTAGTTTACTTATGAAGATATGTGCGTTCAGTAACCTTATCAATCAATGCTGTCCGTTTTCCTTCAGGCAGCAGATCTGTTTTATTTAGTACCACAATCATCTTCTGGCAGGTCACCTCACCGATAACAAGGCATTCAGCTGTCTGTGTCTGCATTCCTTTAGTGACATCAACTACAAGAATCATCAAATCAATAATCTGTGCCCCTGAAAAGTCATAAAGACCGGTAATCTATTGTCAACTGTTAGATGCTGGTATAGTTTTATTTATCACTCTTTAAATGCTAGGAGCCAGGATAGCTCAGATGGCACAGTGACTAGGTTATGCATTGAAGACCATGAAATCATGATTCAATACCCAGAAGAGGCAACAGACCTCTCCTCCAGCATTCAAACCCGCTTTGGGGGCCACCCAGACTACTACCCAATGATTACAGTGGGCTCCTTCCCTGGGAATAAAGCAGTAGGAATATAAAGCTGACCACTCACCTCCATCTAGCACTCCCACATAATCTTCATTGCCTGATGATTAATTGAGCACAGTGAACAATTCTGCTTTACTTTATTCCATTACTAAGAAAATTATGTGGTAGAAGTACAGAAGAGTGTGCCCAACTTTACAACCAATGGACAGAAGTGCTGCTACACCCATGCATATTAGCAAAAACAAAGCATATTCTGTAAGACATTATATAAGTTGTGCAGCTGTGAAATACCTGACAATCAACCCAACATTTATTAATTAAAACAACCCCCAGGTTCCCCTGTTGTCTTAATTTTAATTATTTATATTAAGAGGGTAATTCTACATTCACTTGATATGGTACTAAATTTATTAAATATGCATTGGAACGACTGTTTTCTGTGGTTAAGGAATAGTGTGGCAGGAAATGGGAAATGAAATTACGGTGACTGTTAACCATGAATTTGGAAAAGTGTGGGAAGAAAAGTGAATTATGTTGTGGAAGCTGATTGGCCAAAGATGTCAGGCCTTTACCTCCAATTATAGTGCGAATTAATGATGCGTGTCCAGGACAATCCACCAATGTTAGTTGTAGTTTTTCTTCTGAACACAAGTTCTTTAAATGTTGTGGCATATCAAGTAGGAGTGAACTAAAGCCCAAATCGATAGTGATTCCTCTTACTTGAGACTCAGGGTTTTTATCAAAACTTGCTGTACTTGCGGTAGTACTCAGAGCCTTTGCCAGTGAAGTTTTACCGCTATCAACGTGTCCTAATATACCAACATTTAAATTTAACACAGAGCTGCTCATATTTGTTTCTTACGGAACGTCTACACAAACTCAAACCGCGTAACCTTTCACGACGACGTATTCCATGCGTAGTGTAGTTCACTAATTCCGGTTTTGCACATAACTTTACAGGAATCACTGTTAGTTGACAAAGTGCTTAAAAAACTTCCGTTGACAGATAAACAAAAGGAATTAATTTAAGGCTTTATAATGTCATAATACATCACTCATTCCCATTCAACGAATTCGGCTTTTGCTACTTCGTTGTTCATTTGTCTCTTATAATTGCAGTATTTACCACTAGGCGCCACTAGAAGTATACCAAAGTTCATAGACTGAAGATATACAATTATTTATTAATTTATATAGACATAAATTCCTTAGAATCCAGCTTAAACCAACTCAAGCGTTACAATGAATAATCATTATTTGTAATTATTTTGTTCTCATTACAGTGGCTATAAGTATTTAGATGCTATTCTTTGTTGCGGGATATTAATATTTCATGTCTGTTCATGTCTATCTTGCTAAGTGCTTTGTTTTGTTGTAGTTGGGGCGGAAAGGAAGGAAGGGATGGGGTTGCAGTTTATGTTCGCAAATGTGAATTTTGTATTGTGAGACGTGGTTTCTGAGTTAAACAACATTTTAACAACAACAGAATTTAAAGTGTTTCATATTGTGTTTATGTGTCATTTGTGTTAGTGACATTTTGGATAACACCTTATTGGTATCAAGTGTGTGGGTGAGTAGTTCAGTCAGTAGTTTCTTGCCCTTTATGGTGAGGTTGGGTTTAAAGCTGTTTCGGTCAGTTCCAGATATTGTGTTTAGTATCCAGACGATGCGTTTACCGGATGTGAGTTCTGATATTCGTTTCGCGATAGCGAATTAAGGCATTAGGAAGAAGAGGGTAAATAGTAATATAGTACAGTGTTTCAGTATGATAATGATAATGTAGTACGTTGTGTCTTTAAGTCGTTTAGCGTTGTCGGTTAGATATTGAAATAGTACACATTAGTTTTGTTAGTTTGCTACAAAATAAAATTTCATGCAGTTGTATATTTGTCCAAATAGATTTTGAGGAAGTTAGTACATAGTTAATGCTTTCTTGGGAAATGTCACTAGGTGTGCAGAATTTTCTCTAAGCAGTCATTTGATATTTTAGTGTCACTAAAAGAATCCGCCATCTACCTCATCCTCAATTATTACTATTCAATTTCAAATTTTGGTGTAGATTTTCCCAAAACCTAAAAAAGAGAGGTAAATCTATATCCCTGTAACAGGCTATGGAGCCCCATAGGGCTGTGAGACTTCGAGGCTCCGACATTTTGAAGACAATGGCTAACAGATGGTGGTGTATTTGTAGAGTTATTGTCCAGTAATTCTTTTCATTTCCATTGTGACACATTTCACAGTGTTTTCCAATTGTATAAAGTTACTTCTTGATCTTGTTGTGGAGTAGAAATTGCGAACGACACAGTTATGTCATTTTTTCTATTTCTGTCTTACTTTAGTCCTTAACATTTTAAAAAATTTGTTCAGTTATTGCTCTTTCCTCAGTATTAGCCACTTAGTTTCACTGAAACAGTTTTCGTATAAATTGTTCCCCTCTGGTTTGTGACACCATGCTGTCTTGTTGGCAGATACATGTTTCACAAGAACATTCTACCTCTGTTTTCAGTGTTGAAGTGTAAAGATAGAAGCATCATGTTCCTCCCAAGTTTCAGTATCTGCCCACAAGACTACATCACAATTACACCATTTAGTGCTATGAAAACTTTAGAACTTATGTAGTTTGTGTGTGCTTCAATGTCTGACTGGACAGTGAAGCTAGAACCACGAGAGACATGCTGGCTGTCTGTTACTCAGTCACAGGTAACCTGCTGCTTGTGTGGAGCGGGAAACATGAAAGCATCCAACTACATAACGTAGTAGTGCCTAACCCACACAGAGTTTAGGTAATGAACTATAAATAACAGTTCACTTCATTATATATAGTCAGGAACAGAATTCTTTTCCTGGATAATGGCAAGTAGTAAGTTAAGTTTTTGGGAATCGAACTTCGTTTGTGTGAACCTGTTTACATTTTTGGTACTTCTTTCACCTGTGGAAATATGAAGCACATATCTTGAAAGGATGTGAATTCTGCTGTGGTTATCGGAAGATGATGTAAATTTTTCATCATTGCCCGCAGCATGTTTATATTATCTATAGCATTGATTAAGGGATGCTTTTGGTAGTGCTTTATTAATGTGCTAAGTTTTCTGAAGTTACAAATAGCTACTGCATTTGATATCTCTGTGCATGAAGTTATGATTTGAAAGTGATGTTAGGCTTTTTGAAGTACAAATTTATTCTAAATTATGTTGGATTTGAAGTTCTGACAGCATTGCCCATGAATAATACAGGCTTTGGGGATGTGATGGCATGTAATCTGTTAGTGTACCACATTTCAGAGAAATGTACTGCCTCCATCTTCAGAGTTAGTAAGCCAAACAAGCAACGAGTAACAAAGAAATGGTACACACAGTTCTACATGTTGTAGGTTGATTGCCTGGTTTACTCTTCAGCTTTGAAGATGAAGTCAGGGCATACTCTTAAATGTTTGCGAACTACCATGTGACAACATAATGTCACATTCCAGATGATAGTAGTTGTGCTTCACAGAACACACGCTGCATCTCCATAACAAAGACAAACTGGTTAATGCTGTTTGGGGAAACAGTCACTGTTTATTGTGAGAACCATACGGAACACACAAATACACTGTGTGGGCAGAGTCAGAGTTACTTTATGACTGGCAGCTGCCAGTCTCTCAGCTGCTCAAGAATTTACCAACGTTTTATGGAGCCTGAAGTTTCATTATGGTGTTCACTAGAGCCTGCCACTGGTTTCTATCCTGAGCCAGGTGAATACATTCTGTCACCCCATCCTGTTTCTATAAGATCCAGTGTACATCTAGGTCTTCTTAGTGATCTCTTCCCTTCTGACTTTCCCACCAAAATCCTGTATGAATTTCTCTGCCCTCCACTGCATGTTATATGCCATGCCCATCTCACACTCCTTGATGTACGTTAGGAAATTACCGTTTCTCAGTAAATTTGTTAGGAACTTTTTTGACAACTTGTATTTGAGTGGACACTTCAGGTTTGAAAGAGAGAATTTTATCAAAGTAAGAAACATACACTTTCTGCCCAGTAAAATTTTACTGCAAATCTCATCGGTTTTTATATAATTTTTAAAATGCAGAGGGAACAGAGTTGCCACGTTTCCTCAGTTGAGCACCGTCCTCTGGGCTCTGACAACCTGTAGTTCTACCAAGCCTTACGTTTCGGAGGAACATAATCTGGTCAAATAGTAAGCCAAGTAAGAAACTAGCACAGTTAGCAGCTAGCTTACTGTTGCCCCAAAACTCGGCGAACTTGTACCAGACAACGCGGCGTTACAACTCAGAACACTGAATCTTCATACTCACCATCTTGAGAACCGCAGATCGAGCATTTCATGACTTACAAGGGTAATCAGTAAATGGGTCATAAATGGAAGTAAAACAGCTGTAATGGATATAATAGATTTTCTATGTGTATCACTAGGCAGCAGCACAATCCGGCTTCAAGACGGGTCTAGAGAGGTTGGTTTCAGTTGTCACAATGGCGACCATGCTTGAGGAGTATACTACCAAAGAGCAACGTTCTGTTGTGCGTCTTTTGTTAGCAAAGGACTCAATGCAAAATATAGTAATAAAGAAATGTTTCCTGTTTACGGTGGGAAGTGTTTGTCGTGTAAAGCGGTTCACAGCTGGGTCGCGAAGGACCTTCAGTAGTCGCAGATGTTGAAACGGAAGGGGCGGAAGTGACTGAGAAAATAGTTGAAAGACTTCTGTACTGTGGGTTTCGACGCACTGGTAAAGTAATGGGACAAGTGTATCAGTGTTGGCGGAGGATATGTCGGGGATTTTTTTTTCACCCGAGAATCACATGTTTTACGTTTTATATCCATTTGTGACCTGTTTGCTGACTCTCCCTCGTATGTGTTGGATGTCATGGCTGTTTTTAGTTCAGAAGCTGGGCCGCAGAGTAAACTCTGGTAGTGCTGTGTCTGCTAGACGGGTATCTCCGTGCGTGCGAAGAATGTTCCTGTTGTTTGCGATGTGGCAGCAGGTAGCGTGACAAGTCTCTATTCTGGGATGTGCAGCAGCCTGCCACGTTTGGGGAACTTCCCACAAAAACTCCGAATGTAAAAATATACTTCCGAGACTGATGCTCTGAAGGAGGGAGTAATCCATCTCCGAATTACCCAGACACTTCCACACACTTGACTGATCGCGGTGGCGTAGCGGTAACGCATATAGACTCGTATTCCGGATGTGTTGTGTTTGAATCTCGGCAGGGACGCTAGGTATTCTGAGTTTTCTTGAGGTTTCGTTCAGTACCGCAAGGTAGATGTCGAAATGGTATCCACATTAGACCACGACCGCTTTCTTTAGCATCTTGTGCAGTTCCTTATGTAATATCCTCCATTCATTTCATATCCTGAGTTAATAACGGCGTTCTAAAAATAAACTGCAAATAGACAAGCAAAAATATAAGACATATTTCTTTGTATTCGAACCAATATATACAGGAATCACGGTTGTTAAGGCGATGTGCAAAATCTGCGGTAGAGATTCAGAATGCAGAGATTTTATATATAAAAATTCAGTCCGTACCTCACAGGAAACACATTACGTGTCCGCTACAGAGACCAACCGGTTAATGCTGTTTGGGGAAACAGCCGCTATTTATTGTGAGAACCATACGGAACACATAAATACACTGTGTGGGCAGAATGCAGAGAGTTTATATATAAGAATTCAGTCCGTACCTCACAGGAAACACATTACGTCTCCGCTACAGAGTCCAACCGGTTAATGCTGTTTGGGGAAACAGTCGCTATTTATTGTGAGAACCATACGGAACACACAAATACACTGTGTGGGCAGAATGCAGGGCCTTCAACGCTAAAGTAGGCGGTACACATACTAAGCTGTGTATTCTAAAGGTTAACGTGTTAGCTACCTATGTTGTGATATTGACCAAGAAAGTAACCACATCTCGGACGACTAACGGGTACTTCCGATTCTTTATGTTAGTTAGTTAGTTATTGGAGAGGGTGGGTTTCCCCATGCACTGAGACCAGTATTGGTCCATTGTGCTTCCCTCTATGATATTCTACCAGTCTCTATACCCTACCGATATTGGTGCGTACCATCAGTCCCGACCGAGCCAGCGAGTTCGGCCTCTACTGGCTTGGCGGTATCTATAATGCTTCCCCCATCTATCAGAGGCGTTAGAGACTACTGTTGGGCGGGAAATGTCCTTGAATTTAGCTCAGTGACCTCCTTTGGAGATATGAGGTTCTTTTACGTGCCGTAAAGCTACGACACGGGACCCACGGCTTAAAGTCCCTCCCGGAGGACTTGTTCCCTGAATTTTTCCGCCCTTAAAAATTCCACGACCTCCGCCGGGTTTGAACCCGCGTACCACGAATCGTGAGGTGGGAACGTTATCTCTAGACTACGGAGGCCGCTGATTCTTTATGTTAGTAAAGTTAATTATTATAATTTTTAGAGTGGGGTGAGACAGAATTCCTTCGTACCCTTATATGGCCCAGTGTACCAGCCCCGGATGATAAATGTAAAAAAGGTAAAGCTGTCCCTATAACAGTTTGTGGAAGTCCATAGGGGTGTGAGACGTCGAGGCTCCC